AGCTCATCCTGCTGCTTTGCTCTGTGCTGGAGGTGGTGCTGAATATGCACTCAGGGATGGAATTTTAGGCATCTGGGTTATAAAAATCCAACTGTTACAAGCTAAGTATGTCAAGCAGGCAAAAAAACCCAAGACCTTGGGGGATGTGAGAAAGCCACCTTTTACAGAACCTTTGAATGAGGGAAAAGCATCTATTTCTCTTCAGCTTGCAGCAGCTAAAAATACAACTGAACAAACCTAAGCTTTTCTATCTACTTCAGAGCTCCTCGGGAATTATTCATTAATTATTTACAGGGCTGGCAAATTAATTTTTTTCTTTTAAAATCAAACAAGGAAAACTCTATGTCCCTCAGCTGTAACTTGCTCTTGGCCTTTCTCCTCCCAGCTCATGGATAAACTCTGGGCAGGACCACCCATGGTATCTGTCCCCAAACTCCTGGTGCTTCCCTGTTCTGCCGTGAGGAGCTGAGGCCAAAGGCCTGGCAGGAGGCAGCTGCTGAGCATGGGGCAGCACAGGCAGGAGGGCTCAGCTCCTGGGATAATCCTGGTGCCCACGAGTGGGGGGAGCCCCTGCCAGCACCCCAAGGAGGGGCCCCGGGGTGATGAAACGTGCCCAGCCCCTGCAGCGCCCGCATGGCTGTGATGAAGCATCTTGTGTGAAAACCCAACGTTGGCTGTAAAACTCCAAAAATCCCTTAGCAGGAAGGGGCCGGATCCCGGTGGGGGGCTCAGCATCCTTCCCACAAACAGCCCCAGCACCCAGGGTGGCCGAGCAGCTCCTGGGGCAGAGCAGGGAAAGCTTCACCAGCAGCCGGGAGGGAGCAGAGCTGCCCTGCAGGGAGTTCCCGTGCAGCCCCTGCCGCTCCCTGCCCTGCCCATCGCACCAGCCGGTGCTCTCCCGCCCTCCAGCACACCCTGGTTCCGTGCGAGTGACCCCAAAACCGAAGCTCGAAGTGGTGCTGGGGTTCTGGCGTGCCCTGCCCTGTCCCCAGCATCCCCAGCCCCGCGGCAGTGCGGTCGGTTGTAGGAAACCCCCCTACACCAAGTGCCTGAGCCGCTGTTCCCCGCTGCTGCTGGCCAGCTGAGCGAGACAATCTGGTGCTGGGGGAACTCTGTTCCCCTGGCCCCTCTGAATAGCCCCTTCCCCATTCAATATGTCAGGCGTGGGATCTGGGGCTGGGAGGAGGAGGTTGGATTTGCTACCCAGCTGCTGTGCTGCAAAATGAGCGTTTACTATTGCCTGGAAAATGGGATTTCTGGCTGTTCAGCCTTGCCTGAAGCTGAGGCACCTCGGGAATAGGATTTCCAAGGTGCTGCTGCAATGTCAGGGGTAAATTGTCACTGCGTGCTGGGGTCTGCTCTGTGGAAGGAGCTCAGCTTGGGGGCCTCCTTCCCCTTTCCCAGCAGCTGGGTGGTCCCAGGGCCCAGCTCAGCCTTTGTCTGTGCTCCTGGCCATGCTGAGTGGGGCTGTGAGCCAGCACAAAGCCAAGGTGGATCCCGTGCAAGCTACAATCCCAAAGCAAAAGCAGGATTTGTTAACCCCCC